AAGTGCTCGGACCGTCGCGAGCACGCCTCTCACGTTCTCGTCAAAACCCGCTGACATTTCTTGTATATATCTTAGTAATTTTACTATATTTTGATTTGATTTCTTGCGCCATTTCAAGAGAAAACTTCAGGGAAACGTGCATGTCTGAAAAAGTTGCGCTGAAATAACTCAATTCCCCGTAATCGCTAATAAACTTGAATGTCCCACGAGAAGGGACATCCGAGTGATATGCTAGAATTACGATGTCCCACGAGAGGGGACAGCGGAGTGCAAAGGGTTAAATACGCTGCTGCAGGGTCTCTCTCGCTGCATCGAGCCGTCCTAAGCGAGGAAACGATAAACCGGGGTTAGATGATAAAAAGCTTGGTCCGCGGTAGCTAACTCTTCGTAGCGATTCAGCGTACAATCTGGCTCGATGCGGCCAACTGAAAAGATTGCGCCGGCTAAACTCGTGCTCGGGCAACTTGTCCGGAAAGTTCTGAACGTTTTTTTGTTCCCGGTAACAGGAACCTCGTCGCGGAAACCCCTTCGGATCCTCTCTCGGCGGACGCACGTTTTTCTTNCAGTATATTCTATGGCACAAAGTAAGAAAAAAATGTTATGTAAACATAACCTTGACATAACCTTGACAAAACCTTGATATGTCAGGGNCGGAAACCCCTTCGGATCCTCTCTCGGCGGACGCACGTTTTTCTTCTAATTGAGCCGTTCATTTTGAAAGTGGCATAAGTCACTTTGTTTTTAAGTCGATATATTTAAGGATTTGGGCTTGAACACGTTTAACCCCTTAACGCACAGTTTTTTTGAAAAAAAACCAGCCAAAAAAATCAATTTTTTGAAGAATTTTGATATACTACGCTTTTGTTCCATGGAAGAAGGCTATATTTTATTCTTGAATAAATAAGTGTTATAGCTTACAATCCCATATAAATGATAAATATCAATGAAACGTCTCTTTTTTCTTTGCTTTCACATTGTTATTTTCATTTCTCGATTATATTCAAGTGTGAAAAATTATAGCAGCATAAAATACAACGCCGCTCAAATTATCTCGAGTGTGCACAGTTTGGCCTGTTTAGCACGCTCGAATTAACTCGAGCGTACAAGTTAAGGGGTTAAAAATATGGATACCAACTTTCGAGAAGATTTACTTGTATTTGTTATCTCAGGATATTTTTCTCAGTATAAATATAATTTCTCAGTATAAATAATTCCGTATAAACATTAAAAAATCACCACTTTTCATTACGGTAAAGTGACTTATGCCACTTTCACTAATAAACGGCTCAATTGACACGGCCCGGAAGCATATTCTTGCTGGTTGAAAATTTTCGGGACGATCCCCCCCTCTCCCGCGGCATAAATCTACCGCGACCAGCTCGCGAAGATAAATGCCGCGTCAACGTTAAGCCGGGGCAAATTGTGGGCCTCTATCCTTTGCGGATTGTCCCTTAATACGTGTGATAATTCATACGTCTTTGTGCGACCGCCGAGCGGTCCCCGTTGGTACCGCGACGCGGAATTTTTTTCTCGATTTAATGAACTTCTTTGATTCCGCGCAGGGAATTCGCGCGGTCGGAAAAATGAGAGAGATAGAGAGAGAGGGAGAGAGAGGCATGGCCGCCTTTTGGTGCGCGTCGCACAAAAGGAAAGCGTAGTTACGCGAGCCTCTACGTGTAATAACGAAGTCCTTTCAGATTTTCCCCGGCACGAAGACTGAAAATTAAGAACACCTTTAAGGTGAGCCCGCACCATTCTGCCCGCGCAACTCCCATTGTCCGCTCGTACGCGAGAGAGAGAGAGAGAGAGAGAGAGAGCGAGAGTACTTCGCCTACATTTTCGGCTTTGCCGGTGCAAAGCTGATTGCTCTGGTTTCCACTGTTTTTCGGCAAGTTGCGGCAAATAATTTTTTAAAAGGAACCCGCGGCAGCTTGGCCTCGAGATGGAGCATTCTGATTTCGTCGACCCTGTGATTTTACACCGGAGCACAAAAATACCGAGGAACGTCGCTTGCTTTCATTCGTCCTTTGGCTACAACGATCCGTTAATAAAACGGGACTTTCAGATCTCGTACCTAAAAGACTTTTACACCTCGGCAATAGTGAATTGATTTTGTTGGTAGGAACGATGAGGGTAGGGTAGCGGAGCCGATTACTGGCCGCGTGACCAATTGCTGCGGCTTTGCTTTTTTCGGATATAATTGTGACATATTATTAATAATTGAGTTCAAAATAAAATAATATACAGGGTGTACCAGGTTTTAATGTTCAAACTTTGCCAGTATATTCTATGGCACAAAGTAAGAAAAAAATGTTATGTAAACATAACCTTGACATAACCTTGACAAAACCTTGATATGTCAGGGTTATTGATAATATTCTTCATATTTCCCTAACAAACATATCCCTTACGTCCTTTAACACGATTATTATTTATTAAATTAGCTTTGCGAATCATTTCATATATTGACCTTGACATGACCTTGCCATAACCTTGACGTAACCTTGACATAACCTTGACGTAACCTTGACATAATCTTGACATAACCTTGACATATCAGGTCCCCGCCGACGATGTTTCGACGTCGAACGGCGTCCCCGGCGCGATCGAAAGGGCTCACGGGTATCTTGTGTCTCGATTTCAGCTGTCCTGGATTCACCGGGCACGGTTGCTGACGAACGAGACGCGGCGTCACAACGGCGAGAGGAGCTACGTCCTGAAGTCGAGCGGCCACTGGTTGAACCTGACGATCCCGGACGTCACGGCCTCGGACAAGGGCGACTACATCTGCCAGGCGAAGAGTCCCGGTGGCTTCACGGAGAAGAACGTGACCCTGGCGATCACCGGCGACGCCATAGGCGGCAAGGACAACATCATCAGCCTGCCGTTGGCCCTTGGTTTGGGCGTGACAGCGTTGCTGCTTCTGATCGTCACCGTGTCGCTTTGCGTGTGCTATTGCCGGCGCCGTCGAACCAGGCACGACGAGAAGAGCCTGGAGGCCGCCTCGATAGAGCACCACGGCCTCGGCGAGCAGGAGAAGTCGCTGATCACGACCATAAATCCCGTGGTGAAGCCGCCCAGACGGTACGAGGCGCCGTCCGTGACGTCGCACGGCACCGAGATGACGGAGCTGAACCGTACATTGCTCGACAACGACTCGGTCTTTGGTCAGTACACAGCGTACATTACTAAACAGTGCGTGGCCAGGTGCTAGCTACTAACTATTTGTTACTTCCGCCGGGCGATCACGGCGAAACGCGGTACGCTCGCGGGACGGGCGGTGCTCGCCAGGCTACGATGGTGTGTCGCGTGTGAGATGGGTGCGCCGGTCACGATGAGAACGGAGGAATAATTGCCCCCGCCCGCGCGCGCGGCCCACACGCCCCGTTCTCGAGAAGCTGCCGCCCGGAATTGGCGCCCCTAACGATTTTTCTTCTCGACCTATGGGGATCGGGACCGGGTGCTAGGAAATAGGGGACCATTCCGCTGGAAACAGCTGATCGAGAATCGAAAATCGAGGTCTTGAACGGAGAGGGGGGGGGGGGGCTGTTAGCCGAATGGCCCTCTCCAATTTCACCGAGTCCTCGAAGAACGTTCGACGTCATTCCTTCGGCTCCGGGAACTGTATTCTCTCAGTTCCCCGTCCATATTCGGATTATTTAATATCCCCCGATAACGTCGCGTCCCGTAATCAAGAACTTGAATCGGGCTTTCGTCGCAGTCTGGATCTGCGACGGCGAACCTTTTCGAGAAGTGGGTCAAACTTTGTTCATTATTGTTTTTAGTGTTGGTTCGAGGGCCGCTTAGTCGGTGGCGTCGTTTCCGAAGGGGGTGGGGTGATGGTTGAGAACTAACCTTTTTTGGTGCTCACTTTCAAAGTCCTCCGATTGTCTGTTCTCTCTTTCATGACATAAAGAAGTAAGCTTATTTTAGGTTCCATTTTAACGTTCTGAAAATTAACTTAAATTAAGTCGAACAAAGAAAGCGTAGATTCTGGTAGAACAAAACAGCCCCTTTGGAATGATTATTATTAACATTATGCCAAAATGTTGAATTTTAAACGTTAAAATTTAGAAAAACGATGGAAACTTGGTTGCGAACCGGATAAAAATCAACGCGCGTTAAAAAACCGGCGCGGGTCATTGCCTGACCCACGGGTCACAGGTTCGCCGTCACTGGTCTAGATCAACCTTTTGCACCCGAGTGGCGACTCCGAGGCGCCATTAAAAATTGTTACGTCGCGTTTCAAAATAATTTTATGAATCGAATTTGTTTATATTTAATGAAGTGTTGAAAGCGTAACTGTTTCGCGAATCACAAAATTCAATTGCATATGTTTAGGATGCATTACGTTCTATAAAATGGAGATACCGTGGGTCTATTTTAAATTTTCCGTTGATTTGGCTTCGAGTGCAAAGGGTTAACCTTTTAGGTACGGCTGAATTCTGCGCGAGGCTATTTCTCTGGACGGCAGAGTCTGATACTGTATATTCTGTCTCTATATACAGGGTGTGCCAAAATGCCTCGCAATCCGAAAGTGGCGGGTTCCTCGGGCCATTTGAAGCAACTTTCTCCTTTACAAAAATGTTCTCCGAGGCACCGTTAACGAGTTATTAACGAAAAACAGTGACCAATGAGAGGCGAGCTCGGCTGGCGCGAGGCGATTGGCGCGCTGGTTGGCTGGGCCGCCTCGCGTCAGCTGTACTCGATTCTTATTGGTCACTGTTTTTCGTTAATAACTCGTTAACGGTGCCTCGGAGAACATTTTTGTAAAGGAAGAAGTTGCATCAAATGATCCGAGGAACCCGCCATTTCCGGATTGCGAGACATTTTTGGGACACCCTGTTGACTGTTGTAAATCGATGTGAAGACAAAAGAAGTGTGAAACAATGCATACGAAGACGATTATTTGATTCAAACGATGAGCGAGTGAGCTAACAGAGCAAGCCACTATAGTGGCGCGTCGTCCAGAGAGATGACATCCGCGAAAGCCACTATAGTGGCGTGTCGTTCTGAAAGATGACATCCGCGAAAGCCACTATAGTGGCGCGTCGGGCCTAAAAGGTTAAACGCGCTGTCCAAGAAATACGAACAACAGTTTCCTCTAGGGACGCGAAAGCGTCGGATATACTTCTCGCCCTGTAATTAGTTTCAAAAAAAGGAGGAGTCGTATGGAAGCCATAAGGGTAACGGCCGTGATCGGTAATTGGCCCCGGTATCATCGATGTTTATCGATGAACGAACGGCAGTCGAACGACGCGTTCGCACAATGAACCGCCGAGGTTGAATCGAACGTTGTTGACGGCGGGGGCGGGCATCGATCTTCCGGTCTCCTTCGAAAGAAGATCCGCGGTAACGTCCGCGTTAACATCCGCGGTAACGGTGTCACCGCTAATTAGGGGATAGAGCAGAGACGAATGGAATTGTAAACGGCGAATGTATTTAAGTTTAAGACGATTCGCGTTTTAGAGCGTTGCGGCGCGGGGTTCGGTAATCCCGCCTGCAGATAAACGAGGCGCCATTGATCCTGGGTTAACAAGTATCGACCGCGCGGGACTGTTGCAAGATTAATGAGAGCGTGCAACACGTAATGATAGAGAGGAGAAAGGCATTCGTCATTTGTGTCTGGCTGGCGGCGATACCGTTTTTCCTCTCCCGCGTGCTAAAGAGAGCGCGAGAAGAAGAGATTCGCCCCCCTCGTTCCCGAAGAAAACCGCGCGCGCGTCTGCGTCCGACGTCGTCGGGCGTCGTTAATTGGACGCGACGTGTCTGATCGTCGTTGCCCTGAACGCGCCGTTTCGTGGACTATTTTGATAGAGATGTAAATAGACGAGGGGGAAGGGAGGGGAAGAGGAGAGGCAGTAAATTATACGTCGGCGTGAACCGTTCCGGGAGGATTCCGTTGTTTTTCTCTTAGGCGCTCGTGTCGTAGTCGTCGCTCGGCTGTGTTGTTGTTCCTTGTACATAATTAATAGGCGTCGATCAACGCGAGAAAGACGGATGCGGCTCGTCTGATTTATGCGCGCGCGCGCGGCGGCGGCGAGACAAGAGCGAGACGAGAGAGTCTCGGCACCCCGAGACGGATAACAAAAATCTGGCTAACAATGAGAGAAGATGCGCCGTGAATTGCGAGCATGACGCGGTGTGTCCGGAGGAGAGGTAACGGGAAAGGCGAGGAACGGGGTACGCGGGCATGTTCGGGGTTCGGAACAGGACAGATGGAGAGTAATAATCGTTAGGGCGCCGGCTCTCTTTTCCTCTCTTCCGGTCGAATTAGCAAGTCGTCGTTTTATTGGGAAACGTTACGGCTCTCTGCGGTCGTGTGCCGGCGTCCTTTCCGCGTGTCTTTCTCCGTGCAATTTCGAAGACGGTAATTGAAATTGCCCGAGCCTTCCAACGTGGTCCGCGTTTAACGGCTAACCCCCTCGTAACCCTTTGTATCCGGCCGACGGGTCTCGCGCAACCTTTTTCCCTTCACCCGTGTCCCACTTTCTCTTTTGGCCATCGGACGGCACCCGAGAGCCACTCGGTGAACACCCCAGTGTGTTCACTCGGTGTTCACGATGGATGTTCTATGATTACCTCTGGATCGCTGCTACGAGCAAGCTAGGCGACACGGAGGACGCCCATCGACTCGCGTCCTCGCCGACGGGAAGATTGCGCGAGGCTTCCGCGAGCGGAGCGCGATAAAAAGCCGAGGATCTTCCGCGTTCCGTTTTCTCGACAGATTCGTTACGACGGCCGTCACGGCCCTACGGCCGGTTAATTTGTAAACAGGAACGCTCCGCGCCCGACGAACTCCTACGGCGCAGGGTCGACCCAGTTTTTCCCGCGATGAAATTTTATCTCGCCCGGACCCCCGATCGATTTACGTGTCCTCGCGATACCAAGTCGCGGCAGCCTCTCCGCATTATGTATAACGCCTCTCGATATCGGCGCGCGGTATCGGGCACCCGGCATCGAAACTCGCCGCGTTACAGGATGCGACCCTCGTTACGCGCCCCTTATCGTTCCGCACCCTTGGCGTCGTCTTAGCTTAAAAGAGCGAATCGCCGCGCAGCCGATCGGCCGGAACGCGAGTCGGTAATCAAAGGGGTGATCTCGCGAGCACGTGTTCGCGTGTTCCCCGCCACAGGCCGGTCTCAGACACGACACACAGATCCCCAGCGAGACGGATAGTTCAGACACAGATTCCGACGGATATTTCACTTTCATAGAAGTCCGTGCAATCCGCTGAAAGTCGTACCCACCAACTCCTCTCCGATGGGAAGGGTGGACTCCGCAGGGTGGAAGAACGATAAGGTCTGATTCGTCGCGGTCGAATAAAAAGAAAGGGCTACGTAAACGTGCACTCGGCACGATCTTCTTTCCGCGTTACAGCTTTCGAGCAGATACGGACGGAATCGGATGCTGGTTTACTGCTTCGCAGCGCGGTTCGAGCATCGTGCCAAGAATCAGTCCCTGTCGTGCTTTCCTCCCCCCGAATCACCGAGTATAACACGACACCCACGAGCAATGTCGCGGCCATTTTCTCGGCAAATTGGCTGCGGAGACTACAATCGTACCCATCCCCCCAGCCTGCACACGATCGAATTCGCGCCCGATCTCAGAAGCGCACCCCTCGCAGACTCGCCATACACACAGACACACACGCACGCATCCACGCAGCCCATCGCGGCGATCTCGGCGACGTCGTCTATATTTTTGTTCAAACTTTTTTTTTTCTTTGTCACCATCCACCTTTCCGTTTGTTAACGTTCCTCCTTCTTTTTTGTTTATGTTCTGGCAGCTGATGGTATCGGTAGCGGTGTCGGCGGCGGAGTGATCGGAGGCGTGGGCGACGACGAGAGGGAAGAACGAGCGACGCCCGAGCTCGAGAGCGGTACCGGTACCCTGTCCCGCGGAGGAGGTGGTAGCTACCGCCAGTATCCGCCGGACCTATTGGCCTTCTCCGGTGGCCGTGGCGCATCCCCGACCAGCCAAGCATCCACGGCACCCGACAACACTCGTCTTCCGAGTCAGCACGCGACACCGACCACGTCCGCGTTCGGCTCGCCCTCGAATCAATACCCGGCCGCGTTCAAGACCCTGCCGCACAACCGTAGCGTGACGCCGTACGGGATCGCGAGCTCGACGATCGCCCCGGTGATGCCCCGGCACGGCTACGTGACGATACCGCGCCGGCCGAGGGCGCCCAGCTGGAGCAGCGGGCCGCCCACGTCGCCCACCGACGGCCTGGAGCCGGTCTACGACAATCTGGGAGTAAGAAGCACCGCGGACGGCAGCTCGATGCTCTCCTTGAACAAGAGCCCGGAGCCGTTGGCCTCGATCAGGAACAGACCGCTGCCGGGAACGCCGGGCTCCCTCTACGGCACGATACAACGAAGCACCCCGAACATACTGACCAGCAGCCCGCTAGACAGGGCTGCGCCCGAGGGCGCGGCCGAGTGGCCCGCCAAGCTCGCCGACGAGTCCACGTCCGACAGCAACCACATCCTCGGCGCCCAGCAGTCCGGCAGCAGCAGCACCCTCGGCAGAAAAGTGCCGCCCAGGCCGCCGCCCAAGCCCAAGAAGAAGTCCACCAACGGGCCCCTGTACGAGGACGAGGGTGAGGACGGCACCGAGGTATGATCGGCGTATCTGGGACGGCGGAGCTGAGGCCGCGAGGCCGTGGCCGTGCTGAAGAGACGGGACGCATGACCGCAGTCACAATAAACCGGTAGTGCCTTTGAAGACGGAGACGACCCGTCCGCGGCGGGCCGGGTCTCGGATTCACCCTTTCTTTCCTCTTCGGGTGTGCTTGTAAACCTTCTTCGCCGCCCGATCCGGCGAATTCCGACGACGGACACGATCGCACGGGCGGGCCTCAACGTGTTCGGTGAAACGGACGATCCTTCGTATCGTCGGCCGGATATTTCGTTGTCGCTGATATTCCCTGGGATATAAACCAGCTCTGATAACGTTCTCGAAACGAACGCGAGAACCGCCTTCTCTCGCCGGTCGCTCTCTTTCCTCGTCCTTCACACGTCCTTTTGTTTCTCCCCCCTCCCTGTGTTTTCTAATTTATTTGATCGTTGACGCTGTGCCCGGGACCCCCGCATCGTGGACGACACCACCACACAGCGAGACTCCGCCGTCGTCGCGACGGCAATGATATCGAGACACACTCGACTCTCTCTCTGTGAAACCTGCTGGACTTTTCGGGATCGCGCTCCTTCTTGTATACGGCGCGGACATTAGTGTTTAAGGACGCACACCGGCTCTCCCGGATACGATTCATGTAGTTCATTCGTCGTGCTTCTTGCATGCCTAACGAAGACCGCGGACAACGATTGATTGTTCGCGCGCCGCGGATGATGACGATGACGACTTTTCTACGATACGTGATCGTGAATGCGGTGCGCGATCCGGGAATTGTATCCTCGAACTTTGCGAATGATTGTTCGCGTGTCGTATCGAAGCGGCGAGAGAACTTTTATCACGACTTTTAATCGCCGCTGTTTCATCCCCCGGATGCCCGCATGCCTCCCAGAAGGGCGGGACTTTCATTTATCCTTTTTACCGTTAGTTTTTACTTGTAAGATCCAGAGTTTGTTCTTCGATGTAATCGTGCGACGCGTGGCCGCCGCCGCGCCACGCCGGATCGTTCCGACGACAATGTAAATCATGATTGAGACGCCGATGATCCCCGGCTCGCGGATCAACGGAGACGTTAGGGTAACTATTTGCGGGCGTGTTCGAAGGGTGCGCTCGCGCGGACAGAGAAAACCGAGCTGCACTACCGCGATCGTATTCATGAAATCTCGACGCGTCGGATCGATACGTTCGATCGGACCCTCGATCCACGTTCGTTCTTCGTTCTCCCCAATTGAATTGGATCGTTTGCGGCGAGTTTCGCTCTCGCGAGTTCATCTTGTAAGGAACGATATTGTTGTGAAGCGACATGTAAAACGCAAGCGTGTATTCGATGCGCGTGTGTAACTCTGATTCGCGAGTCGAGACTTTTAACGCGAGGAACGAACGCGGGTCGAAACGAGATTTATTTCCGAATTTCGCGTCAGGATCGACGCGACGGACGACGAGTTCGAACTTCTCGGACAACGTGTTTTTCTTTTCGACGATAATCACGCCACGGAACGTTCCGTTCCGCGAATTTCCTGGGCTCGCACCCGTTATGGGAACACGTAGACTCTCTCTCGAAGGGCACGAGCTCCGAATCGTGCGCCGAATGTATTTAACAGGGTGCTCCCTTTTTGCCCTCCGGAACGATATTTTAATATTCTCACGGACCCGGAGAAAAGGAGACGGCCGCGTGTTGTAAAAATGAATTGCAGCCTCTTGTACATACTGTGTATTATACCTAAGAAATATAGTTTGTCGTTTAATCGCGCGATCGGATCGACGATCTATTATCGGAGCCACGCGCCGATCGTTTCGACAAGGATCACAATTCGTCTCGGAAGGAGACGCGACATTTTTCGGCGTACGAAATAGGACGAGTCTGTCAACGACGAGAACTGGCCCCGTTTGGAGCGACGAGAACGCCATTCCCATTCAGTCCCAATATTATAGTACTGAGGGATTCCTGCGGTGATTTGAAGTAACTTTTTCCTCAGCGAAAATGTTCTACGAGGCTTCGTTTACGAGTTATCAACGAAAAACAGTGACCAATGAGAGATCGCGCACGGTTGACGCCCCGCCCGCGCGACCACTCAGACGACCGGCGCGCCGCGGCTCTGGCCGCAAGGCCGGAGCACCGGCCGCCCTCGCTCTCCGATTGGTCAGCGTTTTTCGTTAATAACTCGCGAACGGTGCCTCGGAGAAAATTTCTGTAAAGGAAAAAGTTGCTACGAATCACCTCAGGAACCCCTCAGTTCCCTGGAAGTACCATAATTTTTGGACACCCTGTAACGAGTAGACGCGATCTCGCAGCGAATCTTGACGCGCGTTCCAACGAATCCCCGCGCGTAAAGGACGAATCGGATTCGCGAACGACGCGAACAGCAGGACATACGTCGGTATTTTTTAATCGAATTTATCTCTCGGTTGCGTCCCGAAATCCGGGCNACTCTCTCTCGAAGGGCACGAGCTCCGAATCGTGCGCCGAATGTATTTAACAGGGTGCTCCCTTTTTGCCCTCCGGAACGATATTTTAATATTCTCACGGACCCGGAGAAAAGGAGACGGCCGCGTGTTGTAAAAATGAATTGCAGCCTCTTGTACATACTGTGTATTATACCTAAGAAATATAGTTTGTCGTTTAATCGCGCGATCGGATCGACGATCTATTATCGGAGCCACGCGCCGATCGTTTCGACAAGGATCACAATTCGTCTCGGAAGGAGACGCGACATTTTTCGGCGTACGAAATAGGACGAGTCTGTCAACGACGAGAACTGGCCCCGTTTGGAGCGACGAGAACGCCATTCCCATTCAGTCCCAATATTATAGTACTGAGGGATTCCTGCGGTGATTTGAAGTAACTTTTTCCTCAGCGAAAATGTTCTACGAGGCTTCGTTTACGAGTTATCAACGAAAAACAGTGACCAATGAGAGATCGCGCACGGTTGACGCCCCGCCCGCGCGACCACTCAGACGACCGGCGCGCCGCGGCTCTGGCCGCAAGGCCGGAGCACCGGCCGCCCTCGCTCTCCGATTGGTCAGCGTTTTTCGTTAATAACTCGCGAACGGTGCCTCGGAGAAAATTTCTGTAAAGGAAAAAGTTGCTACGAATCACCTCAGGAACCCCTCAGTTCCCTGGAAGTACCATAATTTTTGGACACCCTGTAACGAGTAGACGCGATCTCGCAGCGAATCTTGACGCGCGTTCCAACGAATCCCCGCGCGTAAAGGACGAATCGGATTCGCGAACGACGCGAACAGCAGGACATACGTCGGTATTTTTTAATCGAATTTATCTCTCGGTTGCGTCCCGAAATCCGGGCAACGAGAACTCACACCGCCTCGAACATCCTTTTTCCCGTGTTCCCAATTCCCGCCGTTTCGCGGGATCGCGAAACGGGACGCGTGTTCGACACGATCGGCAAGGCAAAGCGTTTCCGATCGGGGAGCCGAAGCGCTTCGACACGATTCCGGATCGTTTCTCAACTGCGGAATCGGTCGCACGTGAGCCACGAACTTGTGTCACACTTTCGGTGCGTTTTATCCGGAGCTTAGCGTTGCGTTTCCCACCTTTACCGGGGATTTCCGGATCGATCGCGCACAACTTGTTGCGAGCGGAGAAGAATCCAGCCCCGGGAACACCGTTCGAATCTCTAGTCGACTATAGCACGTCGTGCCGCCGGAGGTTATCTCGTGCCCGCGGAAACCTTTTCCCCGATGAAAAACGTTTATGCTTCGACCGTTCTCTTCAATCGGCGCTCGAGACAGGACAATTCCGACCTATTGTCACGGTAGAACCAAGAATTCGCGTGCGCGCACGCGACGCGACGCAACGCGTCGGAATCGTCCGAGGCTTTCGACCGTGGCGATCGCCCTCGAGCTTTCTTCCAGCAGTGCTCCACTTTTCTTTGACCCGTCTAGCGTGAACACGATCGGACGACGAGGCGCCTTCCCTGATCGCGAACGCACCCAACAGTATTACGAACGAGAGACGTGAGAACGACGATGCGGAGCCGTTGGGACGACGCGGAGAAAATCGCGACGCAGTCGTGCGACTTCGTTCCCCCGGCCCTTTGAACGCTTTTAACTGCGACGGGCCACCAATCGCAGAGCACGCGGGACATTTCCTAGAGCAGAATGTCGCGCAGTGAGTGCCGGACGATCGGAACAGGGGGCGAAACGTGCCCCGACCCTCTTCTTCCGCTCGGAAACGGAGGATCGAGAAATCCTGCTGCGATATATCTCGAACGGAGGAGGGCTTCGGGATCGAGGCTACACGACCGGCTGTGTGTTGTGGGATCGTCGCGGATCATTTTAAGCGGCCTAGCAGAGTCGCGGCTCGCCCGGGACCAATCGTCGTGCCGCGCCCTGTAAATACACGGACCCTAATTGCACGCTGATTCACGACGTTGTTTATATGTAAATGCGGCCACGTTGAAAGCAAGCGCGGCACGATCGGTTGACAGAGGGGCGCCACGAGTATATTTTTGTAATTTTGTATTTTGACGGGTTCTCCGGCCACGTCCAGTCACACGGCGGCCGCGGCCAAGGGAGGCGACCTCTCGACCCTCTTCGTCCCTTCGGGATCAACGACACCCGGGGAATTAACTAGATCCACGCGTGCGCGATACGGCCACTAAAATATAATTGAACGGTCGTTAGACCTACACGCCGCTTGTGGATCCTCTCCTAAACTCGGCTACACGCTTCCATGATGCTCTCTCTCTCTCTCTCTCTCTTCCTCCCTCTCTCTCGCTCACGGTCCCCCTATCTCCCTCCCGATCACGGTGATACAACTCGTCTCCGAGGGTTCGGAGCTTCAAACTCAAACCGAGGGAGATTACTTCAAAGGACTCGAGTCCGCGTTTTAACGAGCGATGTTTGAAAATTTTGATCGGGACTGAAACGTTCTAGCCGGATTTTTAAGCGGATTCGCCGGGAAGAACTTTGGACAGGTGCGCTTGATTTGCGGAATGCTCATCCTTGACGAATTACTGAACGAAAATCTAGTTTATTTCATTAGCTGTTCGAAGACGCGTTAAAGCTGCGTGGACCGCGATCGTTCACTTTAGGATTTAGGGTGCCGTTGGCTTGGATTATGTTCGTCGCGATCTTTTTAAACTTGTCTGATATTTTTTTACCGATTTTTACCGTCTTCGTGGTCGTGTCGTAATCTTTTACGCGCATTGAGTGTGCCGGCCTTTTATTCCGATTTAAAAATTGATTGTTCGATTATTATCGAATTTCTATTTACTTTAGACATTGTTAAATATCGATCGATATTATTCGGACGAACAATTTCGTAAGACGTGTCGAGCGTTCGAACTTGAAATTTAGTAAGTACAGTAATGTCTCCCTAATTGATGCTCAGATTATGCACAAAAATGGATAATTTGGGAAGAGGATTATTTGAGCCCTCATAGTTGTGCTATAAGTGTTAGCTATATAATACTATAGTTCTTATAGTTGTTGACAATTCGTAACTATAAAAACGAACCGCAAGGTACGAATAATCGTATCTCCTCTTCCCAAAATTGTCCATTTCTTTTAGACAAGCTGAGCGTCAATTAGAGAAACATTACTGTAGCAAGCGATTAAATGTCTTCGAACATTCTTGGATTCTTTTCCGGTCCAGCCACACCCCTTTCAGCGTACGTAACCCCTTTCACGTAACGAAATACTACAACGACACGAATGCATTTGGATTTCCTTTGAACATCTTATCGAAGAGCCGAGCCGTGTTACACGTAACTCTAAAACTGATCTTCGGTTTGAATATCGCGAGCAAAGGTGGCAAATAGAGCACGGCCAAATATCGAATTCCAGCAAGTCGCTTGATTTTCTCAGAGACGGTCTCGCAGCCGTGAGAGGCGCAAGGAACCCGTCGACAGCCGCGCGTTCCTTCCCCAAAATGATTTCAAACGAGCGGCGGGGTCAACGTCGTCGCCGGGAATAATGGTCCGTGCGGGATGCCCGAAATATTTAGCATTCCGCTACTTTCCGGCCCGGAGGGTGTGACACGTTAGCCATCCTAAATCAGAATTTTCCCCATTTGCGTTCCGCGAAGAGAGAAAAGAGGGTGTGGGATCTTTCCCTCGCGGGGCTCGTTTCGCACGAACACAGAGCTCCCGCTCCCCTTCCTCCCCCTTCTTCCGTTGGCTTTTCCTAGCGTCACATACTCCTACTTAATGACACCGTGGCAAGTATATACGGTGGAAATGGAACACGTACAAGCCCGCAATTACAGCGGATGTCAACTCGCTGTGCTGCTCTATGCGCTATTAGCTCGGGCTCGCGCTGTTTACCGGGGCTCGCGGATGACGGACGAGCCACCACCGGTCGTCACTACAATTATCATCGCGGAATACTCTTTGTGCGACAGTCGGCGAAGGCGTGGGTCGGTAAAATGAGAATCCTCTCCTTTGACACACGGCGAAACGGGTTCCGCGGTTCACGGTTCACGCTCGCCGAAGTGTGTCCCCGCGTCGGCAGACGCTCGGCGGATCGCGAGCGATCGATACGCACCCCCGCGCGACACTTCGAGCTTCCTCCGTTTACCATTTCACTCCTCTAATGACTCTGCGTATCTACCCGCCGGGTACATATCCGCTTGATGTCGTTACGACGGAAGTCAAACGGGGATCAGAGCTCAGACCGGGACACGGGGAGTGGGTCGCGTGTAATTGCGAATACCGGCGCGACCTTATTGGACACGTTTCGCTTAGTATTTTTAATGAGTCACGCAACGCTTCGCGGAACAGACTTCTA